AAAAAAAAAAAAAAAAAAAAAAAAAAAAAAAAAAGCTAAGTTTTTTCCTTATTTCATAAACCAACAAAAAGAAAATTAAAGAAATGAATATAAAAGTCAACAACAAATTTTGATGAATTACAGTGATGTTTCAATATGCAAAAATAAGCGTTAGCATCATCATTCTGACTTTGTTCAGCATTCATACAGCCAGCTCCTCATCCTTGCCTTTATACCTCCCCCCTTTCCTAAAACTCAAGCTTGTATTCCTTCTTTAACCTCAGAAGGTAACTGCAACAATGTCGGTCACTCTCGTTGACAGACAACCGACGGACAACCCACACTTACAATATCCATCACCCAACGCTGTAATCACCTACAGCAATAAGCAATCCGCTATTTAGTCAGTTAGTCAGCTAGTTAGGCAGCGAGCAGTCAGTCATTCAGCCAGTCAATATAACAACATTACCGCTTCTTCAAAAATGTTCAAATTCCGAATCCTTTTTTCCCCCCTCCCCCTCCCCTCATTGATCACTGTTTATTAAATAACCATCTAAAAAAAAGGCTCAAAAATCTGTGATATCGAAAGAAAAATTTTTCTCCCTTCTCCTCGAATAACCTTTTGATTCCGCTGTTTTTCTCCCTTTTTTTTCTCTCTTTCTTTAAGCTGCATCTGGAAAAAAATTATCAGTTAAGTGGAAATACTGACGACTTTCTTATTTTGTTTTTTATTTTCGGAAATTAAGTGAAAAATGAAATGCTCTGATAAACGAAAAAAGTTAGAGTCCGAAGAGAATAAAACAGAAAAGAATTCATCAAAATAAGTTAAATACCCTAAAAAAACAGCAGATAAATTCAAGTTTTTTCTTTTAAAAAAAATTTCTTGTATTTATCCGCTTTGTTTCCGCTAAGGCCTTAAAAGAAGATGAAAAAAAGAACAACAAAGAAAAACACAGTTTATTCTCATATATCAAAAGGTTATACAAAAAAATCAACAAGATCTGCCGCTGAAAACTAATTGTTTCAATAAAATAATCGTTTCATTTTTCAATATAAACAAAAAAAATTTTTTTTAAAGCTGGTATTGCCGTAGCCCCGAAAAACCATCATCACACTCGTTGAAAATAAATGAATGAAACCAAGCACCGATTACCAAGAACAACTACCAAAAACGGCAAATCCTTCCTTCAAGCTTCTAGGTGCTTGGTCTTAATTTGGTCAAAGCAATTACGATAGCACTGTTCCCATCAATTAACCAACCGTAGTGGTTTGTTAATTCGCCTCGAGGGCCAATTTACTTCAGGAATCAAATCTATTCAGCTCAGTGTCCATTTAAACTTCTCCGTAAGAAGTTTGAGTAAAAGTTTCGATCTTAAAGCGATGAAGTCAGGGTGAAGTGGGAGCAGCGGTGGCAGTGGTAATAGCAGCAACAGCACTAGGAGCAGCACCAGTAACCTGCGCCCAGCATTAGGGTGCCAAGTGAAGAAGTAACAGGCAAACATAAGAAGTATATTGCAGTTAGTTATTGAGAAATAACTCTTTCAGCAGAAAAAAAAAGTAAAAAAAATTATACATAAGAGAATGAGAAAGACAATGCTTGAAACCAAATTTGCAGCAAGCTGAGCTCCCGAAAAAAGAATATAATGAAACTACAAGTAAGAAGGCATTGTTTTGAAAGCAAAAGTCTCTGTGTCTATAATGCAAATATGCTCAATAATAATATATAGGAGAGAAAAAAATCTGGCAATAAAGAAGTGGCAAACTGCTAGTCTTAAAACGAAAAAATCTTAGGAGCTAGCTGACTGCAATGCAAATGCATAAATTGCAATCGGCACACAATTGGTTTGTCATTTGGGAAAAGTCAAGCAGATTTTTTGGCAGCTTCAAACTAATTGGGCAATGCCCCTATAGAGATGAATAGATTCCATGCTCAACGACATTGCCATCAGCTTATATAAATGAAGACTTTTTCCTCAATAGTATTCGTCTCAAGAAAAATATTTAACAGCAACGCTAAACAAGCCAAACCCTCCGCAAGAAAAAAACTTTGTTACTGCGGTTCGTTAAGATAAAAAAAAAAATTTCTTCTCATCTGCCCTGTTTGAAGTAAAAAAGAACAAGAAGCACATATACAGATGAGTAAAAATAACAGCCAAACCATAAAGACCAGAAATCAGCGTACAACCCCCATATTTAGCTGAGCTCAAAAGATTCATCGTTAACACCGCACTTCAATTGCCCCCATGAAAAGCATTTCCAAAAAAAGTTGTAACTGAACCTCAAAAAGTTGTCACTGGAAATGTCAGAGTTGATAATGACAGTCAGGAAAACAATAAAAAACTGTATCGAGTGCGACAAACCGTGATGATATGCAAACGCGTAAAACGAGTAATCGGTGACTACTGACTATTATGTAAAGTAGCAACGAATTATTTGTTATCCCTGAACAGGTTGTTGAAGTGAGAAAAAAAAATCATAACCGACCAATTCCCGTGTGGATGATGGTAGAACAGAAGGTAGTTACTTGATCTCTGTCAACACAAGCTACTGAAAATAATACCGGCGAAACTGTAGAAATAACGACGCAAGTAACTTTTAGCACCTTTTCGAATTACAAACTTGATTTTTTTTCCTCACTGTATGCAATTTTTTATAGTCAAAAAATTCATACTGCATTTAATCGGATCAACTAATCAGTGAATTAATATTATTTATGCCAACTGAACT